AAGCCGTTTTTAAGGAACTAATTTACATGAATCCAGTGCAGTAACATTAGGTGCTGATCTTAGAAGTGGCTGGCAATGCCCAAAGCCTAGGGTTTCTGTACTCACTAAATGTTTGGGTGTGGACTGTTATCAATACCTGCTACCGATCCTGTATTCCTGGCTCCCTTTTTATTAACTTATACCAGCTTCCAGGAAAAGGGCTGGTGCAGAAGGACAGATATAGAGAGTGGGGTTTAAATGATGCAGGTGACAGTAGAGTTCTGCTCGTTTGTGTGTGTGTGTGTGTGTGTGTGTGTGTGTGTGTGTGTGTGTGTGTGTGTGCATTGCAGGGGGAGCTGGCAGCTTACCCTTCCATAGCCTTCAAAGTCCCCAGTGGAACAAGCATAAAGTCACTGGGACCTGAAGTACGTCTTTCATCCTTGCACATGCTTAGAGTAGACACAGGGATCATTTATTGCCAACAAATTGGGGGCGGAAGAGAAGGAAAAGCAAGCAGATATGCAAACAAAGGACTTGGCATGGTCCATTAGGACTGCAGCTTATAGTCAGAAATGTGGCTTTCCAGGAAGAGAAAGAGACAAGGGTACCAGGAGAGGGAAGAGGAAGAGTGAGGAGAGGGAGGCTGGTGAGGCAGGAGAGTGATGCTAGGGAGTCAGAAGAGGGAGGATGAAAATTCACAGAGAGGGGCTGACGAACAAGGAAGGGAGGCCAGAGATAGGGAGAGAAAGGTTGGGGAGCCCAGAGAGGCCAGAGGCAGGGCCACAGCATGGGCAACCTGATGTCCTGCCAGCTCCCAGAACATCTAAACACAAATGCTCACTTCAAAAGGACTGACCCAGAGCGTTTTAGCCATGTGTTTTCCAAACATACTCAAGTCTCCACTGCCTGAGAGCCAGCCACACTTCAAATGTGAGAAGAATTCAGAGTGCCCGTCTAAGTTAGCAGGAGCCTACAGGGGTGTTTAATAAGGTGCGAGTGCCCTGTGGCTTACTCAGTAAAGAAGTCTAGACAAAAGCAAATTAAAATCCCTGCGAATTCTTCCCTAACATGTGAAAGCTGGGTGACATGCCCCAGTGGTGTCCGCTGATGACAGTATGGAAGGCTTGTTATGATTCTGAAGTTTCCTGACTCCTTCCACTGTACACAGTACCTTGCACGGGATAGCTGACCCCTCATTAAACAGCCCAGAAAGACGGGGAGGATAGGGACTGTCCTTCTGGGGTGGACCGACTTGAAGGTGGTGAGTAAACAAATCTGATACTGTAGACTGAACGCAAAAGGGCCCTCCATCACGTGTTAGTTTTCCAGTTACTCTCTCAGTACAGAAGAAACAGCAGAGGCAGTCTTTCTGTCCACGCAACCAGATTAAACCAATTGGTGCCACTTCAGGCGGTCAGCTTTAACAGAGAAATCACAGGAAGGACAGACGGACAGCTGGTTCTAAACAGTGCACAAAGTGTTCAAAGGTAATTCGCATCGGGGCTTTAAAATTGTTTGAACTGCCACATTTCAGATATTTTGTAAGTATTTCTGTGGTGCTGTAGATCACATCCCCACCCACTACCTCTACCATTATGTCACAGGTACACCCCCATCGGTTTCAGACATTTTAAAATGTTAGCAGCGAACAAGTTGCTATGTTTTTCCTGACAGTACTCCTACAGGAAATATCTAACTTGGTGGCTGTAGTAGCTACATGGATTTATATTGTGCTCAGAATCTGGTTTCTGATATCTGTTTGTTCTGGTCTGGATTTTTTTTTTAAGATCATTTGCTTAGTATGTATACAGTGTTCTGTCTGCAAGCCAGAAGAGGGCACCAGATCTCATTATTGTTGGTTGTGAACAACCATGTGGTTTCTGGGAATTGAACTCAGGACTTCTGGAAGAGCAGCCATTAACTGCTGAGTCATCACTCCAGCCCCTGGTTTGGATTTTTGAAGCACGTACATGAGCGTTTTGTTTGTGTGTATATATGTGCACCTGTGGGGTAATACTGTGTTCAGTGCCTTCAGAGGCCAGAAGATGGCATAGGAAGCCCAGGGAATGGAGTTACAGATGGTTCTGAGCCACCATGTGGATGCTGGGAACCAAATTAGGAACCCCTACAAGAGCAATAAGTGCTCTTAACCTTTGAGTCATCTCTCCTGCTTCCGGGTAGTATCTCAGGTAGCCCAGGGTGCCCTCTAATTCACCATGTAGCCAAGGCTAGCCTTGTATTCCTGATTCTCCTGCCTCTACCTCCCAAATGCTGGGAGGCCAGGGAGTTGGGAGATGGAGGCCTGATGGCCCTAGCAGGGCTTCCCATCTGCCATGCTCTGGACACACAGGACTTTTTCTCACTGGGTCTATAGTTTAAGAATGGATAGTTCGCAGAGACTAGGGGTGGGACCTTATTCTCCCTGGTTACCCAGAAATGCCAAATCAGCTCATCTGTTCAAACATTAAGCCAGCCAGCCTTGGCTTGCTGCAGTTTAAAAGAAACACAAAGAAACCGTAAATAAGGAATGTAGGACATAAAACTTCATTGTTTTCTTTCATTTCTGCCTCCCCAGGGGAAGGACTACACCCAGTAAGAGGTAACATTCCCAATTACGTAGTTTAAAAATCTTTATGAATGCAGTCTCTTCTGTATCATTTACTGGCTTCGTTTGGTTTTTGAGGCAAGGTTTCGCATAGCACAGCCTAACCTTGAACTTGTTATGTGGCTGAGGCTGGTCCTGATTCTCCTGCCTCTACATCCCAAAGTCTAATGTTAAGGGCAGTTCAGTGTCGGTGGTTTCAAACACCATGGATGGCAAAGAAGTAACCATTTAGTTGAAGGACAGGAGAAGAATATTTTAAAAGAGTGAGTCCAACAGCTAAATAGCCTTACAAACTTTGGGGATGGGGGTCCTCTGCTTCCTGTCTGGCAGTCTCTGATTTGAGGAAACAGTGCTGTAAGAATGAATGCATACAGTGAACCCTAGGAAGCCGAGGAAGCCCTGAATGAATGAAGTCTGTAGGGAGAGCCATATCGAGGACTCCAATGTCTCAGGCTGAGAAGTGTCAAAACCTTCCCCAGGGAAAGCTCAGGGGGATCACAAAGCCTTCCTCCTGGGCAGTGTGGACCCTCGACCAGTTTGTACAAAAACTGGCAAGTGCAGCTTCTTCCTGAATGTTTACAGCATGAAACTAGCTGCCCACAGAGAACTCCTATAGAGACTAACCGACCCTACGCTGTGCAGTACATAGTACTAGGCCATCAGAGTGGGCACACCCCACCTAATGCATGTGTGTCTATCATTTCTTCCTTACCTCACCTCCCCTAATCAGGGCTCCAGGACCCACATCTGGTGGATCACAATAGAACACACTTAGTTTTTGTTTGATTTCTTAAAGTTTGAAAGTGTGTAGCCTAGGGCTGGAGAGCTGGCTCAGCAGTTAAGAGCAACTGTTGTTCTTGTAAGAGCACATGGTGTTGGGCCTAAAACACGCTTGGATGCGAGGCCCAGTGTTACCTCCTGTGCCTGGCTACAGTTTGGTGACCTGTCTCTGGCCTGTAACCTCCACATGGGGGTGACTCAGCAAGGCCTGATGTAAGACTGCCTCCTGTCTAGCTACCTGCCAGCTTGGTGGAATACTATTGGCCCTTAACTCCTCACATCACCTTACCCCATCCTCAGAGTCCCATCCCCTACCTCAGCCCTATATAAGTTCCTGCCTGTTGGAATAAATCGAGATCCTGCTTCAACAAGTCTCCTGACTCAGTGTGTATTTTCTCCAGGTAACTAGTAGTGGGTAGGGTCTTAGTCATTGGCACTCACCATCCTGATCAACCCCAGGAAGACACAGGCTGGACCAGCCCTTCCCCCACTCTACCTGCCTGAGGATCTGGCAACATGGCAGCTCACAGTCATCTGCATCTCCAGGTCCAAGGGGTCTGAGGCCCTCTTCTGACTTCCCCGAGGCTCCAGGCATGCATATGCTACGTGTGTGTGTGTGTGTGTGTGTGTGTGTGTGTGTGTGTGTGTGTGTGTATGTATGGGCAAGACATTCATACACATACAGTAAAAAAAAGCATACAACCTTTTAAACGTTAAAAGGTGATAATTTATATACATCCAATATTAAGATTCAGTTTCACTTATATTTAACTGTAAGAATTTACCTTTCTGAAAAACTGGATTTCAACCCCAGAGAGAAAGCTTACAGCATTCCAATAATGTAAATTATTTCAATTTGCATCATTATCAATGTGTAAGAAGGCTTGCATATGTAAGGGGCTTCACTGATCAGATTCATATACAAACCCCTTAGGTGTCCTTCAAGCTTTATGGTTTCCAGGCTCTAAACATCCTGGTGAGAATATTGTACCACATTTATGTGCACCCCAAACACAGTCATGTGATAATTTCAGATAAGTCTCCCCTACCTCTTAATCTCTCTTCCCCCACAACAAAACCTTTGTCATATGATCATCTCAATAAATATAGAAAAGCCTTTGACAAAGTCCAACGTATCTTCATAATAAAAGTCCTAGAGCACTGGTTCCCAACCTTTCTAATGATGTGGGCCCTTTAATACACGTCTTCACGTTGTGGTGACCCCACCCCAACCATAAAAGTGTTTCGTTGCTACTTCATAACTGTAATTTTGCTACTGCTCTGATTTGTAATGTAAATACCTGATATGCAGGATATCTGATGTGCAATTCCTGTGGGGGCTATGATCCACAGGTTGAGAACTGCTGTGTTAGAGAATGTCAAGATAGAGTCAACATGCCTCAACATAATAGAAGCTCTATGTGAGAAACCCACAGCCAACATCATCATAAATGGAGAAATCCTTGAAGCAATCCCACTGAAGTCAGTAACGAGACAGAGCTGTCCACTCTCCCCCTCATCTTCCATATTGTGATAACTTCTTTTCCTATGTGGACCCCTCTAATTCCCTTCTCTTGCCTTACTGCTGCAGCTAGTGCTTCGAGTCTGGCCTCTGCAGGGAGCCAGGCAGGGTTACCTCTCTCGCTCCTGCTCCAGCAGGTTGGTGAAGTCATCGCTCTTGTTCATGTAGTCAGTGTGCTTGTGCTTCTCGTTCTCTAGCTCGTACACTGTGCGCCGGTGGCACTTCTCTGCCAGCAGCAGCTGCTCCAGCATGCGGCGGTATGTTTCCCTCTGTTTCTCCTCGAGTCTGTCCAGCTGAGAGAGCAAAGCCAGGAAAGAGCTTAGTGCCTGACTTCATCTGCAGCGACTGTACCTTTTGACACTGGCCTAGGGACCCTTGACCTATGACGGCACACAGAACTTTGAAAGGGAAATGGTGTACCACTACCTTCTGGTATTTTCTCAATGCCAACGGGCTCTGTAAACTAGCCATAATGGCCCTAATGCTTTTGGTTTGCTGTTCGAGACTCAATCTTGTTATGCAGCCCAGGCAGGCTGACCTCAAACCCACAATCCCCCTGCTGAAATTACATGCTTATGCTGTCATATCCAATTCGCAGTGCTATAATTCACCTGCTGGCCTTCTGGGGCACACTCCTTAAATTTTAGGATATTACATTATTTCACAGAAAGTGGATAACATCTTCCCAACCTCAGAAAAGTTAGGATCTCATCATGCACATGTATCAGCCTTCTCTTCTGGGTAGTAATTATCACTGGCATAATATAAGGCTTGTAACTAACTGAATTTCTAGGGAAAATATAGGAAGGGTCCATACTCCTATTTCTTTCAACACATGCTAAATGGCTTATTTAGAACATTTGAAGGGTACTTTTCTCTAAACGAGGTCTTAAAAATCGTACACAGGGCTGCTGCTTCTCTGTGGCCAGAGTATCCAATCTATGAAACCATGGCTTCGTGAGCCCTTAGTTCTGACTATGTAGTACACAGTCCGCACAAAGTGTGAGTTTAGTAGGTGTCTGTTCAAGGGGACTGGACCTTCCAATATCGCCACTTCCTCTCCTACTCCAGCACAGGACCACTGGCACTGCTGAGAAGAGACGGCTCACTATGGGGCTGTGCGTGTGGCACTGGTCAACAGAAGCCCTGTCACTCACGGTCTCATGCAGCAAGGGATGTCACCAGCATCCTTCTGACCTAGATGCCACCAACACCATATCCATCTGTGATGAACAAATGAACTCACTATGTACACCAGGTTGGCCTGAACTCAAGCGATCCACTTGCCTCTGCCTCCTGAGGCTGGGACTAAAGGCATGAGCCACAAAGCTCAGCTTCCTATGTCTTTTTACTTACGTTTTTAATTAATTCTGTCTCTCTCTCTCTCTCTCTCTCTCTCTCTCTCTCTCTCTCTCTGTGTGTGTGTGTGTGTGTGTGTGTGTGTGTGTGTGTGTATGCATATGAGGGTCCCTATGCTAAGGCACTAGTGTGGAGGTCAGAGGACAACTTGTACACAGCAGTCATCTCCTTTCACCCCCTGGGTCCAGGGATTAGACTCAACTTGTCTGGCTTGGTGGCAAGCATCTTTACCTGCTGAGCCATCTTTCAGGGCCCCAGAAGTGGGCAAACAAGAGAAAGGGGACAATTTCAGAATGTTTTATGATAAAGGACCATAGCAGGAAAATAATTCTAGCCCCGTTGTCTGTAGAGGTTTAACTCCAAGCATGGAGGAATTGAGGAAAAGAGAAATCAACTGAAGGGAACATACAAGGTCTTAGCAAACAAACTGGCATACACAGAAGGGGCATGGATTTGAGGGCACTTAAGATAAGACTATTTTTAGTCGTTGTTGAATCACAATGCAGAACAGTGGAGACAGGAACACCCCAGAGTGGGAAAGTGTGTCTTATTATACATAGGGGCTATCGGGACCCAGGACACAACTCAAGAACATGCTATAACCTTTCAAGTGGTCTCATGAAATCACACATTGCCCTTCCCCTGAGGATGCAACAGATTTTCAAGGTGATTTAACAAAGTCCATAGAGACTAGAGAATTGGGTTTGGGAAGATCAGGAAAAGATATCAGAAGCACCAGTTGGTGACAGACTGAGTTGCTGACATTGCTTGGAGCCTGACTAAACATGTCACATAATTTGTGACATTTGGGCTTACATCAAAAGAAAAAGAAGGCAAACTAAAGGGGATTCAGACAGGGCAGCATCAGTGCAGTCCAAAGACATCTTAGGAGTGATGGGGAAAACACCCTACTGAGGATTATCCAACTCAAGGACAAGAAACTCGAAAAGATTCCTGTCAAACACACATTCCTGCAGTCTCTGAAGCCTTGATTTTGTGTCTCTTCCTAGCGGTGACCCACACAGCACAGAATGTGAAAGGCTATATAAGTGTAGCCCAGGCTGGCCCTGAACCAGTTATTGTCCTGCCTCAGCACTTAAGTACTTGTGTTTCAAAGCATAGGGAAAAACAAAAGCAATAAGATAAATTTCAAAATATCATTGAAATCCATAAAATAGTGGAGAAAGAAGGGAGCCACTTGAAGAAACCAATGGAAATACCAAAAATAAAGAAAATAACTCAGCTGAGTTCTCCTAAGCAGAAAATCTACTAGGACTTCACTAGGACGAGTTACCCTTTAGCAGGTGAAATGTGAAAGGAGGCTAGTTCTGAGATAAATGGTACCCAGTAGGCTAAAGTCACACAGGCCTCGGGAAGGATGGTGGCCAGGGCCTGGGAGCTGAGGAAAGAAAAGAACTGGGCTGTAGCTCAGCCATAGAGCTGTTCCCCAGCATGTGTGAGGCCAGAGGTTTGATCCTGGGTAATGCAAAATAAATAAATACGCACACAAATTAGGTCCCACTAGGTTATCCAATAGGATTCACTGAAGACTACAGTGGGGGCAGGAAAACCATTGCTCCTCTTAATATTATATTTCTTTCGCAGAGCTGGACTTCATGTGATGCTGTGAGGAAAAGCGGATTCCTTTCCCCTCCTTAAAAGAGGACAAAGAACCAGAAAAGTAGGCCTAGCACCATGATCCAGGCCAGCTCACCGCTGAGCATTTCTGCATGGCCCTCTCTCCCGGGCCCAGGTGCATCTCCTGGGCTCATTAGCAGCCCCTCTCTGGGTACTGTTTTCAGAGTTCCATAAATTAGGAGTAGTGATTGGTAAATGAGTCTGCTCTGATGGCCTACCTGTCCCTTGGGGTTCCGGGAGTGCCCTCAAGCCCTAGTTGAGGGAGAAAAGAATTAGGAAACCTACACTGAGCTTTGTAATCCCAGTTATCGCTGTTACCACCGCCGTCATCATTGTGAAACTGGCATTTTCACTTCCGTATTCGTTTTACTCCTCACCCTCCACCCTGCCCACTTGGGGAAGAAGGTGAAGATGTGAATAATTATCATCTTCTACCCCAAGCCGATACTAATGGTTAGCAGCGCCTGAGTATCTAGCGCGTGTCTGATGCTATGTTAAAAACTGTATAGGCATTGTCCCACCTAGTCCTCAAAACGCCACTGTGAGATTGATGTCACTCCGCCACCCCACGGACAAGGAACCGAGGTTTAGTGAGCTGAAGTGGGCTCTGCAAAACCACACAGCTGGATCCCAGACAGCTCATTGTCTGAATCCTGCCCCACCAACAACTTTGGTTTGTTGTTTGTTTTGCATTTTAGGAAAAGCTGAGAGTCCAGACCTGTATTAATCAGAAAATAATGGTGCTGTCAGTCTGTTTTGAATACCAATTAAATCAGATCTTGCCACTGATCTAGGGTAAAAGTTACATTTAAAATTAGTTTCTTCTGCTGTTCAGTTTCTGCTTTTTAGTTTATTCTACTAACTGCAAAGCTATGAGTCACTCACCTGAATTTTGAAGTATGTATGTAGCTACATCCATTAAATGAGTACCCCAGTTTGACACTGAACTTCCACTATAGCATGGGGAAATTTGTTAAGTGTCATGTCATAGGTAATAACAGTAACCCAGAATTCCTAATGCAATTTTGCATAAAGTGACTCATTATAGCCCTGCTGATATTATTTCATTTTAATATTGCCCTAAATATTTCATTGGGATTTTTGTCTTCATCACTGGAATTCACATAAGACCTTTTAAATTAGGACATTATAAAATACTCCCAATGCAGTGGTATTAAACCATAGCTATCAATAATGAATTCAATCTAAAGTTAGGTTATCATTTTTATAGTAATCCTGAAAACTCGATGTGAGACCTAGTCAGCACCTCAAACTTTTTATATGCTATTTCTTAGAGGAGTAAAACAATAATGCATCTCAAGAGCATATAACTTTCCTATTCACATGGAAAAATATATTTCAAACCTGAAGCATATTTAAGTAAAAGCTGGAAACTCCCATCAGAACTTACCTAGTAACTACTGCTTACAAATTACTTAATTCAGAATTACCATACTTAATTCTACATTAGGGCATCCTAACAATTGCATTTGGGAGAAAGCATCAAAGCATATAAAAGGAAGAGGGGCAGTCTCTCTGCAGTTTCTTCCCAGGAAGGCTCGCTGCTGCCCTGCTTTACCTCTGAGATGGGTTTCTCATAGACATCTTCTCCTATGGACTTCTCTTGAGCGAGGATGGCATCTCGATGCAGGACCCGAAGCACTTTCTCTGGCTCTGCCGATCCGTAATGTGCCTCCAAAACCTCAGGCTTGGTTTTCTCTGTCTTCAGCATGTGGATCACATCTTCTCTAGCCTGTGGCAGAAAGTACAGTAAGGTCAGATGTCCGACAGAGCAGCTCAAACATCATACTCACGAGATCAGCTTGGAGCTTACTGGATGGACCCCACTGCTTCAGGTCTATTGCAGATTCACTGGGGATCCTGTACTGTTCTTATTTTTTTTTTAACCAACTGTAGATTGGCAAGCAGAGACTCTGCTTTGGTTGCTAGGAGGCAGGGGAGCAGAAAAAGAATTTGTGCTAATATTAACTACACAAAATTTTCTTTACTTAAGTAGCACTGGTATGAGAGAGGAGACAGGAAAACCTGTTTCAATGTGTATGAGGTCAGCAACAATCAAAATCCTCAAGTTTTCTATTTATGATCTCAATATAGCATTTAAATCTGTTTTATAGAAAACCCCACTCCCTTTATTCTACAACCATGTTCATTGTAGTTATAACTCTACATGCAATTAACAAACGACCTTTCTTACTGATTTCCTTCTCATAAGTAATTTGCTTTGCACAGAAGCACATGATTGAGAACTGACTCTATACTGGACTAGGCTTTTAACTAATTCACATCAAGTTCTATCATTTTACCACCAGACTATCACCAGACAAGTCAAGTTGGTGGGTCATGACTAATTTTTCAGTGGTTTAGCTCAACATCTTACTGAAGCTCTCAAGAACACCACAGCTGTGGGTCTATGTGGCATTGTCTTTGGTCCCATCATACAATGCACACACCTCTTGGTGCTTTTTTATTATTATTATTGATTTGTTGTGATGCAGCTGATGTTTGCTGTGCCTTCCTCTCTGCACTTGGAGCCGCCTTACCCTTTTCTACCTAGAATCTTGGTCCCGAGGAAGTCGCCTTCATTCTGGCTATACATGACCCTATTCACAGTGTGACTGGGATCTAAAACAACGACATAAATCCAAAGTCATAAAGATGGTGCGATGCCCACTTGTTGGTGTTGTCAGGGTTCCTTTTAGATCACTCAAAAACAGCAGTGGACCTGAGGATAGAGCAGTTGCTGAGGCAGGCAATGCCAGGCACACGAGGAGCAACAGGTTCTCGTCGTGTTTGTTCAGATTCAGTCACATTCCTGTCTCGCAGAAGGAACTACCACGTAGATGTTCACACATTAGCCCCACAAACCACATTCTGAAGAAGGTATCCCTCACTGTGGATAACAGTGTTCAGGAAGTTGCCTTTCAAGCATAAACTGAAGTAAATACTCCTGACAGCATGGATTGCTCTATAATTGACACTAGTGTATGTGACAGAAGCATAAAGGAAATTAAATAAATCCTAAAGCAATAAGACAAATAAGAACATAATTAAAACATGGAATACAATCTGCATTGTTGTGTAATGGGACGACCCTATCTTTAAAGAACCTCAGAATTATTTTTTTTGGTCCTAGACCTGAGTGATTTACACATGTTTCTCTAAGCTAATTTTATCACCTATGGAATAAAATCATAAGAGCTTCATCACATGAATGTTGCCAGGATGGAATTAGATATACATTCAGAGAGTAACTAATGTAGAACTTGGCATAGAGTAGGTTCTAAGTCAATGGAGACATTTACAATAATTTTTTTCTAGATGGCCTTCACTTTTGCTGGAGTGTATTTATTGTCTTAGATACTTTTGTACAGTTACATCATGTACTTTGATCATATTCACTGTTCCATTCCCTCTCGTTTATTCCCTTTCCTGTTATTATCATCCCCCTAGTCCTCACATCTTCCTTCATGTATGTGGTTTATGTATCTGTACAGAGTCTAGGATTCACAGATGAGAGAACACGCAGTATTTAGCTACCTGAGACTGATTTATTTAGCTTAATATGATGGTCCCCATTTCCATCAATTTTCCTGTCTTCTACATAGTTTGTTCAACTTTATAATGGGATAAAATTCATTATGCATGTACCATTCTTCTTTCCACATCTGTCAACAAACACCCTGCCTGACTCATGGCTTGGCTACTGTGAGTAGCCCTGCGGTAAACATGCAAGTGCAAGGACAGGGTTTGGAGGGATGGCTCAGTGACTAGCACGTGGGCTGCTTTTTACAAGGGATCTGGTTCCTAGCACCCAGGTCAGGCTGCTCAGAACAGCCTGTAACTTCAGCTCCAGGGGATCCAACACCTTCTTTTAGCCACTGTAGGCCTCTGCTTCCCCATGGTGCACATAAACTTACACAAGTAAACACAAATAAATGTAAGTAAAAAGAAATCTTTAATGTAAAAAAACTGCAAGAATCTCTATGCTGTGTTGACTTAGGGTCTTTTGTTTTGTTTTGCTTTGTTTTGTTTGAGACAGGGATCTCTGTAGCTTTGAGCCCTGTCCTGGAACTTGCTCTGTAGACCCGGCTGGCCTCCAACTCATAGAGATTCGCCTGCCTCTGCCTTCCGAGTGCTGGGATTGAGGGCATGCACCACCACTGCCTGGCTTTTCTTCTTTTTCTTCTTCTTTTCTTTTTTGTTACTTAGAGTCCTTTGAGTGTATATTGCCAGAGTGGTATAATTGGGTCATATGGTAAAGATAAACTTTTAGTTTACTAAGGAGCTTCTATAGTGCTTTCCATAGTGGTTGGACTAATTTACAGCTCACCAACAGAGTGTGTGTAAGCTCTCCCTCCCCGAGTCCTTGCCAGCATGCTGTTTTCTTTATGATAGCCATTGTGACTGGGGTGGGATAGAATTTCAACATTGTTTTCTCTGATGGATGATGTTGAACATTTCCTTGAACATATTTATTGGCCATTCACACCTCATCTTTTGTGAGCTGCCTGTTCACTGCTTTAGCCCATTTACTGATTCATTTGTTACTTTGCTATTTAGCATTTAAAATTTTTTAAATAAATTCTAGATCTTTAACCCTCTTTCGGATGTGTGGCTGCAAAGATTTTTATCTTCTTCTGCAGACTTCTCTTCACTTGTTTTCTTGGGTAGATAGAAGCCTTTGGATTTCATGCAATCCTATTTGTAAATTCTTGATATTATTCCTGAGCTACCAGAATCCCTCTCAGATAGGCTTTGCCCGTGTCTTGAAGTGTTTTCCTCTAGAAGTTTCATGGCTTGGGGTCATATACTAAGGTTTTTGATGCAGGTTAATTGATTTTTGTACTGGATGAGTGATTTGGAACTAGTTTTATTCTTCCACATTCAGATACCCAGTTTTCCCAACACCTTTTAGTAGAGAGGCTGTCTTTTCTCCAATGTGTGTACTTGGCATCTTTGTCACATATTAGTTAGCTATAGTTACATGGATTTATTTATGTGTCTGTCTGTGTGTCTGTATTTGTGCCAGTACTATGATGTTCTTGTTACTATGGCCCTACAATATCTATTGAAGTTGAGTATGGTGATACTTCCAGCATTGTTTGTCGTTGTTGTTGAGGAAGCCCTTAGCTGTTCAGTTTTGGGTTTTGTTTTGTTTTTGGGTTTTGTGTGTGTGTGTGTGTGTGTGTGTGTGTGTGTGTGTGTGTGTGTGTGTGTGCGTGCGCGTGTTTGTGCTTCCACGTGAGAAAAGGAAACACCTATTTCTTTTACTAAAACAAACCAAAACAAAACACTTATTCTTGAACTTAGTCATAATATGACACCATATGTTAAACACTTCATCCTAGCTTAATTATTTTAGACACTAATTACCAAATAAAAGAGCTACAGTGTATCACATACTTAGAGCAACTCCAGCCATCATGAACTTACCAGGGGACTCTGTAAATGGCTGTAGAGATAACACTGGAAAATAACAGTAATGCCATTCCTATAATATTGCTACCTGAAAATAATTTAGCAGAGTAAATCAACACTGTGGGATCTTTTTATTACAGTTGCTGTATTTACTCATTATTTATTTGTTGCTTGTGTGTGTATGCAAACTGTTGCACCATGCATGTGGAAGTCAGTGGACAATTTGCAGGAGTTGGTTCCCTCTTTCTGCGATGAGTGTTCTAAGGATCAAACTCAGATCATTAGGCTTGGCACCAAGCACCTTTATATACTAAACCATCTCACCTACCCTTGTGATGTGTGTGTGTGTGTGTATGTGTGTGTGTGTATTTTGAGACAGGGATTCTCTATGGCTGGCCTGAAACTCACTACTGGTCTTAAACTCATAGAGATCCACCTGTCTCTGCCTCCAGAGTGCTGCAATTAAAGTTGCATACCATTACACGCCCTGTGTGTAACATCTTTTGAATCAGTGGATTAATGATGACAACTGTGCAACCACAATAAATTTGTTCACTGCTTCAAATATATGATTCAGTTTATGGAAAAAGATCCTGCACTTTGGGGATAAAATCATAGTACAGCTCCATTTTCAGAGATGTGTTAATTTGCTTGGTGGTGGTGGTACATGCCTGCAATCCCAGTACTCTGGATGCAGAGGCAGCCCTGACACTTAGAATCCCTGTCTTGACAAACAAACAAACAAAAAAAATGTTAAAAAGGCAAAAGAAATGTGTTGATTTTTATGAAAGAAGATAAAATTCCACATGTCAGAAAGCTTCTGACTTTGAACATTATTTTCTCAGAGAAGTCAAGCCAGAAATAAGTGGCTAAGGACCCAGGACTCTAGGGAGCTCCCAATAGACCTGAAGAATGTGGCTGGACCAGAGAGAATGCTTTGGAAAGGGATCTCAAAATGAGCTGCCTTCTGATTGAGAGGAGGAAGGGGATTGGAAAAGAAGCCGACAACACAATGTTCAGTCTACTTACTGACAATAAACAAGTGAGGTCCAGGCACATAAAGAAACATGGGAGTCCCATGTCTCTGCCATCAGACCTACTGCCCTTTGTGCCTGTGGTAACACAGGAGAACATTGGGTGTGGCCTCAGTTGGCTGCAGCAGGAGCTGATTCAAACATGTGGGGGCAGCAAAGAGCCACCCCATGCTGCCCTGGGCCACAGGTGAGTCATGAAATCAAGGCAGAGCATTTGGGCTTTGCAGAGTCAGAGGCATAATAAAATGAAACAGGCTCAAAAGCAGAGCTGAATCCATCA